TTAAATATTAAATATATATATTTGAGCCAGCTCGCGAGCCTCACCTGTCAAGCTCTAGTAGGCTCGAGCTCAGCTTGTTTAATAATCGAGCCACTGAATTTGGCTCAAGCTCGAGCTTGAGCTCGGCTGAAACCGAGCCGAGCTCGAGTAGATCGTGAAAGCTCGGTTCGTTGCCACCCCTAGCTACGACCGAGGTCCACTAGATCTCCTATCAAAAGGGGTGAGTGATGTGTGTGCATGCTACACATTGTTTTTATTGCTGCATACATGGTTTTGATGATGATTCTTAATGGTTTTTACCCTAATTGAGCAAAATTTCAGGAAACTAGGAATTTGGGACAGTTTAGGGTTAAGAGAGCATAAAGGCATGTTGATATGGTGGCAAGGAGAGCACTTTGGCCCATCAAGAAGAGAGGCCCAGCCGCAGCCTTATGGGAAGCTCTAAAAGGCGGCTGGCTTTAGCAGAGTTCGAAGGGGAGTAGGACTCTCAACCAAAAGCTGCAAGAAAGAGTATAAAAGAAAAATGAAAAGAAGAAATTAGGGTTCGGCCCCTTGACACAAAAATGAAGGAGAAGGATCACAAGGCTGCTGAAGGAGAATTGAAGAAGAGATCGAAGATTGATGCAGAAATTTTAAGTTGTCTTCTTCTTTGATTCTGCGAATTCAGTAACCTAGATTCAATTAGGGTTTTTCTTTGTTTGAAATTTTCCTTCTTTCTACTATGCGAACCATGATGGATGTTAATTCAGATTTGTAACTAATCTTTTAAGCTGATCCGATTGATAGTGATTCAGTCTTGGGATTTCTTGATTAGGGTTTTCGACTATAAGAGTAATTTTGGCCGAACTGCTCTTGTTTCTTGGATTACCTAAATTGCTTGAGAAAGGGTTTAGGTAATTAGATCAACTGATCAAGAAAATGGATTGAATGTATCTTAGAGATAATGTGCATGATTCATTTGGCATTCATTCAACAAGAACTGATTTCCTTCGAATTCCTTGTCTTTAATGCATCTATAGCGATTAAATTCTTGATAGAAATATAAGAGTTGTTGCTCATAGATAGATTGGTATTTACGGCTTTGACTTGTTCAGTATATAACATGCAGCAATGAAAAGGAGAGCATCATCTATGACCCAGAGATTGAACAAACTCTCCGCCGCCGCCTTAGAGCTTCGAAGCAAGGGAAAGCTGAAAGTACGAAGATGGCTGAGCAAAGAACTATGATGGACTATGCTAAGCCAACCCTCACCGGGGCAGCCTCGAGCATTGTGAGACCAGCAATAGCTGCTAACGACTTTGAGATCAAACCAGCAATCATTCAGATGATCCAGAACACAATTCAGTTATGCGGCCTGGCTAATAATGATCCGGACACTCACATCGCCAACTTCTTGGAGATATGTGACACATTCAAGCACAACAAAGTTTGTGATGATGCGGTGAGGCTTAGATTATTTCCGTTCTCATTGAAGGACAAGGCTAAGACTTGGCTGAACTCTCTACCAGCTGGTTCGATCTCTACTTGGGATGAAATGGCTAGCCGCTTCCTATCCAAGTATTTCCCTCCGTCCAAGACTACAAAGATGCAGAATGATATCACCACTTTCTCTCAGCAGGACGGGGAATCATTATATGAATCATGGGAACGCTACAAGGAATTACTGAGGAAGGTCCCTCATCATGGACTTCCCATCAGGCTCCAAGTTCAGACATTCTACAATGGATTGACTGAAGCAAACAAGACCATTATGGTCGCTGCAGCTGGGGGATCCATTAACAACAAGACCCCTGAAGTTGCCCATGCACTTATTGAGGAAATGGCTGCAAATAATTATCAGTGGCATTCCGAGAGAGCCCAAGTTAGGAGACAACCTGGCCTTCACAATGTAGACACCTATAGATCACTATTTGCACAAATCGGCGCCCTCAGCAAGAAGATTGACGAAATGTAGTTGGCAACCATGCATGTTCAAGCCATAGCCTGTGAATAGTGTGGGGGAGGTCATATCAGCACCGAATGCCAAGTTGGAAATCAGTTCATGCAGTCCCCTGAGCAAGTAGATTTCGTAGGAAATCTTCAAAGGTAGCAAGGCAATCACTATCCTCGTGCATTCAACCCTGGATGGAGGAATCACCCCAATCTGTCTTGGTCAAATCAAAATGCGGTGAAACCCCTCCCTCAAAACTTCGCTCAACCAGAAAAGAAATCTAATCTAGAGAAGTTGAAGACTATGTTCATATCAAGTGCGGAAACAAGATTTTAGAATCAAGAGGCATCGATCAAGAATTTAGAGACTCAAGTGTGGCAGTTGGCACAAATGCTATCCTCTAGAGTTCAAGGTACCTTACCTAGCAACACAAAAGCGAATCCAAGAGAACAAGTGCAAGCCATTACCTTGAGGAGTGGTAAGGAGCTGCAAGAGGTGGAGAAGAAAGCAAAAGAAAGAAGGTAAGATGGGCGCAACCCTAGAAACCGAAAAGAAGGGGGAAGAGCAGTTTGATTCAAGGAAAGAGACAAGCCAAAAGCCACAAGTGCCATTTCCCAATAAGCTTAAGCGACACAAAATGGAAAAGGAATTCGGTAAGTTCCTTGAAATTTTCAAGAGTTTACATATTAACATTCCTATTGTAGATGCCTTAGCCCAAATGCCGTATTATGCAAAGTTCCTTAAGGAAATCTTGGTGAACAAAAGGAAATTGGGAGACGTAGCCATAGTTGCATTGAATGAAGAATGCTCAGCAATCCTCCTCAACAAGCTGCCTCAGAAACTGATTAAAAAGGCATTGTGTGATTTAGGAGCTAGTATAAATCTGATGCCCTATTCGATTTTTAAGAAATTAGGGTTGGGTGAACCCCAACCCACTAGAGTTGCATTGCAATTAGCTAATAGGTCAATCAAGCATCCTAGGGGAATCATAGAAGATGTACTTGTTAAGGTTGACAAATTTATTTTTCCCGTGGATTTCATAGTGTTARACATGGAAGAGGACATTGACGTCCCACATATCCTAGGGCGACTCTTCCTAGCTACAGGAAAGACGATGATTGATGTCCAATAAGGGAAACTCAGCCTTAGGATTCAAGATGAGGAAGTAATTTTTAAAATGTTTGATACTATGAAACTGTTAGACAATTTTGTATGCCCTTAACTCCAATCAGTTTTGATGTACTTTTGATATTTAGTGTAAATAAATAAARTACATGTTTGATTCATGTTRTRTKGTATRYTTCTRTGTAAGACCCTAAAABTGGACACTTAATGAGACTTGTGTTAGTTTTAAATGTTCATAGCCGTTGGATAAGTCTGGGGAGATTTATCCTGCCAAGGTTGACACTGGTGTGCTGCCAAATGTTGGGGTGGCTTGTCTCAGCCACCAGGGTGAGACCCAAGGCACCCGCAGTGTAGGGTTACTTGAACCCTTGAACCAGACCAGATTTCCAGTATTGCCCTAGACCTTGGAGATTAATGGACAAAACTGGAAAGTTACACCTGACCCCTAGACCCGACTATGGTACTGCACTAGGTGTCAGATTGGGCTGTCTTTGATATGCCAATTAGTGAGATCCTTAGCGGGGTCAAAACTTGGGTATGTTGGGACAGTCTGAGAATACATCTGAGTGGGTGATCATAGTGACGGGATCAGCCCCTTTGTCGGACAAAGGTAATGATTGGAGATGCACTCTCTCTGAGGGAAACCAAACTTTCGGCAGTTGATTTCAATCGTTGGAATTTTGTTTTGCAAAATTTTTATATATGATATATACTTGATGCTGCACAATCCGGGCACTCCTAGCTGGCAGCTGATTGGCTCCTTGCTGGCAACGGACGGTACCTGAGAAGAAGATGGTCTAGGATTCCCGAGGCCCGGTGGGAATACTCTGATGCTTAAGTTAGAATGCTGGAGAGAACAATAAAGAGTGTAAAGAAGGCTAAGAGTGTAGGTCGCACTAGATCACTGAGTTAGCTCGAGAGAGAGTTCGAGTAAGTTCATGATAAGATATCAGATATTCGAGAGAGCCCTTTCCTTCAACTAGAGGGGCCCTTATATGTTAGACTGTTTTGTATGCCCTTAGCTCCAATCAGTTTGATGTACTTATGACATTTATTGTAAATGAATAAAGTTCATATTTGATTCATGTCATGTGGTGTGTTTCTGTGTAATACCCTTAAAATCGGACACTTATGAGACTTGTGTTGGTTTAGAATGTTCATAGCTAGTGGGTCAGTCTGGGGAGACCTATCCTGATAAGGCTGACACTGATGTGCCACCAAGTCGGTTGGGGTGGCCTGTCTCTGCCACCAGGGTGAGACCTAAGGTGCATGTAGTGTGGGATCAACTTGAGACCTTGAACCGGACCAGAATTCCAGTATTGCCCTGGACCTTGGCGATTAATGGACAAAACTGGAATGTTACACCTGAACCCTAGACTCGATTATGGTACCGCACTAGGTGGCGGATAGGGCCTTCTTTGATATTGCAATCAGTGAGACCCTTAGAGGGGGTCAAAACTTGGGTATGTTGAGATGGTTCATGAACCCATCTGAGTGGGTTATCATAGTGACAGGATCAGCCCCTTTGTCGGACAAAAATAATGATCGGGGAAATGCACTCTCCCTGATGGAAACCAAAACTACCGGCAGTTGATTTCAATCGTTGAAATTTTGTTTTGCAAAATATATTTATATGATATATATATATATAT